ACTTCTTTTCAGGCTCACGTAATCGTCTTTGTGCCAAATATCAGCGGCCACGATGATTTGCTCCTTCTTAGTCGCTTCATGGAATGAGGGCTGGTAAACCAAGAACACCTCATCCGTACCCTGCATAAGGAATGATGCCTGCTGGCGGCCCTGTTTGTTGCGTTCTCGACTGACAATCACCTCCTGCATCACTACTTTCTTGAACTCTCGCATCAACTCATCGATGAATTTCATATCTGTAGGAAAGGGGCTCATGACGACGTTTCGCAATACGAATAGATTTTGTGGCATCTTCTTCACGCCTAGTCGGTGCATGAATTCTTGTGCGCATTCGCCGTACAACTCAGGCTCAAATTCCGTCGAGGTCAAGTATAGCGGTCGCGTGGTCGGGTTACTGTCCGAAGAGTTGACAGAAAATCTGTCAACAACCCTCTTCATGAGATTGTTTGCTTCTTCCAGGTCCTCGTTCAGATTCCCATGCTCATCAAACCAGTTCAGAGCAAAGGCATTGATGTTCAAGTCTGATCCCAACTCGCGGAGCAACTCCATCAGCTTCCCATCCACGTCTGCTGCAGCAATATCGTCATTCGACTTTCTCAGAATCTTGTCTCGAATGAGGTCCCTTTCTGCTCTTGCTTCTGTGGAAAGGTAACCATTTCCATTCTCTGCGGGCGGTCGATTCAAGGGAACGCAGATAAACATCCTATCAGAGGTGTCATCCTCATCTCCTATCGCAGCCCAATATGCTGATAACTAAATCATGAATATTAGCAGCAGCAGGTCCGCCTCTGAGGTTAGGGACTTACTCTAGCACTAGTAAATGCTGCTTCTCCGAGAAGCGCTCCGTAGCCATATTGATCAAGTCCGATTGTCTTATTTGAGAGCCACGTTGACATGGCTGCAGCTCCTGGCTTACTGTCCGAAAAGTTAGTCTTATGGAATTCCAGTCACATTGAGCTGCCAAGCTTAAGCTTAACCTACCTTCCCTCCACCCCAAAAATTCCCATACTCGAATCAACATTTCCCTGGGATAAATAAGGACTCGTCCAAGTCACCAGAAACCTCATTCGGCCGTCCCGGTAAACTAAGCTGCCTGCCGGATATGGAACGTAACCGGCTTTGTGTGGGTCAACTGTAATAGAGTCCGCGTGTTTGAGGGCTTTGAGGTCCTCAGCTGTTTGCTTTTTCAGTGTCAAAGCTGGAACAAAACCTTTGGAAGTCGTCTGTTTGCTAAAGTCTTCAGCTTGTTGCTCTAGCTCTTTACCTCTCGGCAGCATGGTGGCGAAATACCCACCCCATGCCGCATCGGCGTGGAGCAAGAATGACATTCCCATCTTCTGGAAATTATCTCTGATCTTCACAATCTCCTTCAGGTTGTCGACAGCACCTTCTTCAGTTGATCCCATGATAGCAACAACGCCATACACAGGTCTTTTTTCGTCGAAACAGGTTTGAAGTTCCTTTCGCAATTCTTCAATGTCGAGTCTCGCCTCTAGGTCTACTTTGATTCCATACATGAAGTCGGAGCCGAGGCCAGCGAGTGCTATGCAGAGTGAGCTCTAGCGCGATCAAAAATGGCGACTAACTTACCGGCGCCTTTTGGCCAAGAGTAATGACGAGTCTTTCCTACCATGTACCTGAACGGGAACTTCACGTCGTTGGTAACATCAGTCTCCATGAATCTCTCTTCCAGTTCGCTTTTACTAATATTTTGGATATTGTAATCCACCATCACCTTGTCTAGAAAATCGTTGGAGATATTATGGTGATCGTATAGACGCTGAGGAATGCTAAGCACGGTGTCTGGCCGAAGGTTCAACAGCTCCCATGCGGTCATCTCATCAAATATCCTGGTTTCTCCTTGACAGTTCTCGATCTCGAACTTTCCAGTCAAGAACTGCAGTTTTCCTTTCTTAATAGCAAGGTAGAGCGATAGTGGGTAGTATTTCAGGTTGCGGGCTGGTAAGTCCTTCAGTAAGCTCCCATCACGCAATTCGCACGGGCTTCTTATACTTACCCACCCAAATAGATTCCAAATTTGCGATTGTCCCATCAGCAGTAATGTGGCCCCATCCGCGAGGCGAAGCATCGGGGTCAACGTCGTACCCAAACATCTCGCAAAGCTGCTCTCCGGCTTTGATCTCCGCGTAGGTCGTGAATGGACTTGCTTCCAAAGCAACATTGTTCGGGTTGTACAGCATAGTCATGAAATAGCCAAGCAGGGCTGGCATGGTCATGTCGGTGCACATGTGTCCTTCGTATCTAGGCGACCAGAACGGGATTGACTGCTGTCCCATCAGGTGCGCAACTTTCTGTACCACCTCGCTGAAGTTTCTCACAATCAACTGGTACAGGTCCTTGTTCTTTACATCTTCCGGTATGAATGGCTTTCGCGGATTAGCTCCCCATTCGACAAGCCGTGTGGCATATGCTTAGCTACTTACTTTATCATTGGGAAAGTAAGCCAATCTAGCATTCTTCAGTTCTTCCAGTATAGTTTCGATGTTTTTCTGGAAATATTCAATGTTTCCCGCCTTGGGTCCGATGAAATAAGAGCTGATAATCTGGTGGTTGCGATCACGCTGCTCAGGAGTACCGGCCGACATGGTTGATAGAACGACCTTGGGTATAGCAGATCAATATGGACAGATTTCACGATCACAATCCTAAAGCCTCTTGTGTGAAGTTCTCTCCTTTTCCTAACACTTTTTTCTGACTACTGAATAAACATATTTGAGTGTCAGCGTCCACCAGGGAAGTCGCCAAGTTGAGGGTGAATGTAACATTGCTGACCGGAACCTGTTCTTAGGTGGAGAACATCCACACTGGAATGTCACTCAGTGCACTCACAGCGTCATTAACAGAGTGTACCTTATCTCGTCAAGCCAGTCAAGGCCACATTTCTTCTATTAAGCTGCCTTCAGCATCATACTTATCGAGAATATCCCTCCCCGTGTCTTGACTCTTGACATCCCTTGTTCCGCCCCTCTGACCGCAAAATAGCGGGCCTATATACATCCTACTATTCGGACATGCCTGCAGTTCCTGGAGCGTCTGCATGTAACCCTAATTACATATCTTAAGTGGAATAAGGTTGCGGTCCCTTCCTCAGACAGGAGTGGTCTGACCTACCCTACGTCAATCTACCCTATGGTACCGTGGAACACTGCCCAGATGAGGTAATCATGCAACATTTACCACAATGCATAGACAAATGGGAGTTTGTTTATTTTCTCTCATTAGCCAGTTTATTCCTCTGCAGTCAAGTCCTGGTATTGGCATTATTTCGGTCGACCTTGCTATGAGTTACCATTTGTGTTGTTCGCGGCAGGGCGCATCAACGCTTCCCTTCGGAAACCAATGCCAGACTCAAATTCCATGACCCCGCCAGATAAAAATCCTCTACTCTGCCGCTTATGCTCGATTCCATCACCATACTATATCATCCGGGCAATTCCGGCCAGGCACCTGGATACTCGTATCTCTAGTCAAGTCCATACATGGCACGTGACATGCAATCGTACACTCTCGCCGCAATCCAAGACACAAATACATCACAACACATTCAAATAGATCATCGCTGTCTAAAACGTTTCATATCATCATACTGCAAAACACATGCAACCTCCTCACCTCGAACCAATGAACTCGTTCAACTTCTCCTGATCAAGAATCTCCCCCTCAACAAGCCTCCCCGTCTCCACAACCTCTCCATTAACAGACTCATACCGCACCAGCGCAGGAATGTTGTTCACGTTCCATCTTGTCCGGTAGGCGTTCTGTGGGTCTTTCCATCTACAAATACCCCGAGAAAGTAAGGCGGGTTAGGTTAGCAAGAACGGACTCATATAAAGCCTATATAGATAAATAGTGGAGAATATAATAGGGCACAACTTACTCAGGATTCTGTCCAACCTCTACCACACCGACCTGAGGACCATCCTGTCCCGAGAACGCCTCCTCTATCTTAGGCCATGCAGCACGGACATCCGGACACCACGCTTGTCCGGTAGCTGGGTCTGCGGAAGACACGAAGGCAAGGAATAGTTTCTTGTTGGCGGAGACCTCAAGGAGGTTCGCCGAGGCGGGGAGCTGGAAGTTGGAGATGAGTGGCATTTTTGTTATATTTGCAGGTTTGAATATTCGGCTGTAGATGCAGAATAATGATGAGGGGATGGGCATTTCAGCTGGGCCTGTAAGCGGGTACTAAAAATAAAAATGACAGTTTTTCTGTAAGTGGGCGGGCGGTGAGGGGGGTATGGTGGGGGTTCTGCCGAGAGTTTGTATAGCGGAGATTGGGAAGCTCACGTGTGTCTTTTCGCTTTACTGAACTATACCTGGGGTAATTAGACAAGGTGGGTAGCGTGATCGTGAGGTCGTGTTAACGGGTAAAATTTATTCAAATCTAAAAGAATGAGTGGTCCAGCAGGGACGATTACGTCCTACCTCACGGGAAGGGGTAAAAAAATTCGAGGAAAGAAAAAGAATGACCAGACTGGGGCTCGATCCCAGGACCTTATCGGTGTTAACGATACGTGATAACCAACTACACCATCCGGCCATGCTTGTTGGATACAGTCACATACTTAAGCTCTAAGAGGCTAAGGCTTTTTGCTTATATAGAAATAAATAATCAGGAGTAGAAAATCGTATCGTAAAAGCTAACATTTTGAATGATCTGTATCCCAAAAATAAATGTCTATAGGATAGGCCTACTACAGCTGTGTCATAGCAGTAGTAATGGTTGTGCTCGATTGTAGTAGTAATTCATTATAGGTATTCTTGATCATTTCGACTGGTTCCCGTAGGGAAATATATATATATGATACTGAGTTTGCCCCAAGGCACTCGAGCCGACGCCCTCCACCGGTAGTGAATGAAACCGGGATCCTAGGCGAATAAGAAGGCTGATATATATCCAACACAAAAACAGAATATATACCACAGCTACTAACTGTCGGTTGGCCTCTGGTCTGGCCTCTGCAAACATCAAAACTGAACTAGACAGTGCCTCCTTCTCGTTGGCCATGATCATACCGCCAAATCGCCCTCATCGGGATTAGCAGAATTGCTGTTGCTAAAGCCATCACTATCGCACTGAACAGCTCCATACCCAAGGCCCCATTGCTTCCGCCATGTCCTTGAAGAGCACCACCGATAGGCGCACCGATTAGCACCCCCAAACTCACAGCAAACCACTGCATGCCCATACGGGTACCAATGACCGAGGGGGTAGGCGAAATCACCGGATGAGCCATCAACACCGGAGTAACAGCGACGAATATTCCGGTGGAAATGCCAATAACGACACAAATGACAACACTCCCGGCGACAGTCTGAACACCCGTCCAACCGAAGAGGATGAAGGTTGTACTGACCATGCTAGCATACAAAACTCTAGTTGGACCGAAACGAGAAACCAGCAGAGGGGCAACGATGCGGCTGATCGTGGAGCTCGCATTAAATATAGATGCCATGTAAACACTCAGATCGATTGATATATGCAGGGCGGACTTGGCAAAAGATGGTATAAAGAACAGTGGGAGAAAGTAGGAGACGAAGAATAGAAAGTTGACAAGTGCATAAGCATCGAAGCTCAACTCCTTCAATGCATGCCAGTGGATGAGCTGGCGTGGTGGGCTGGGCCGTGGGTTGGTCGTGGCTATCAACAGCGGAACGGCAATACATGAGCAGGCCAATTGGATAAAAGCCATAGTGCGTGTTGTCCAGGGGAATCCAATCAGCGGCTGTAGGCGGATGAAGAGAATGGAAAAGACGGTTCCACCTGCATACCTCTATAATGAGCGAGAGTGAAGACAATTCGGAGTATTTGCAGGTCAGGACAACGCACCAATGCTAGCCCCGGACGATAACAGACCAACGGCAATGCTGCGGCGTGTGGTAAATAGGGTGGAAGCGAGTGACAAGGCAGGCACGTAGATCAAGCCACAGCCTATGCCACTACAAACGCCCTGCGATAGGAATACCTGATAATACTCTGTAGATAAGCTGAGCATCATGAATCCAATCACGTTAAGGAAACAGCCGACGGTCATCAGGGAGTGCAGGTATCCTTGATCGAAAAGCGGCCCCGCAAAAACGCCCGTAGAGACCATGAAAAAGCCTTGGATAGTGCCTATCCAAGCGATGCGCGATGGGGAACTGGAGTGCAATAAGTCGGACTCGTAATATGCCTGGAAGGCCCCATATGCAGAGGAATAACCATAGGTTGTGGCGAAGAGTAGAAAAGAGGCAAAAACAGCAGACCACCCAGCGACCCCTCCATTTGGCGGAGCTGGAGCAGTAGCAGCAGCATGGCGCTGGTCTTGCTGGGGACTGAAACGATCAGACTCCTTCGTTCCCATTGTAAAGATAAAAAACTCAAAGCTTTCTACCCCGGATACAGAAGCTCTGTTGTGAGCGAGGCATTTATGTTAGAAGCGAGGATACGCAACAGAAAGAACCGGTGAACAGAAGACTTACAATTTTGTCTCTAGCATCCAGATAATACTTTAGTAATCCGTAAACGCAAATATTTAATCATTGAGAAAGCCGATATATTCGTCATTATGTGGTTACACATAATAGTATTCTCCAGCTTCTCCGATCAATAATTCTGCAGCTACGGATAGTTATAGAACTATCGAAGCCGAGCTCCATTAATGGCCGGCCAATAAAAGCTCACCATGAGCATGATGGAATCTGAAGTCGATCACGCAGATCATATGCAAGGCAGATCATCTGATAGATTGGCTATAATCTGCGCCCAGCAGCGCTGACTGATTGGATCAGCGGTGGTGATCGTGCTGAAGAGTGCAGGTAATATGCAGGATAGCTGTTCAAGCATACTTTGCGGCGTGGCAATCGAGCTTAAAGAAATGAATCAAGGTCAACCTGCAGCAAAGCCTCGGTATTTGCATGCTTTCAATTGACGCTGGGGTGAATCTAACCCACATCTTTAACCAGACGAAGAAGGAGCACTGAGCTCAAAGAACTTCAGAGTACTTATCTGAGGAGACACGTGTTCACAATAGTCAGTTTTTTATTCGGAGTCCAAAATGATTCAATTTAACCCTACAGGTGTGACGCCCATTCAATTGTGTGTTCCCCGAGGATGCAGCCAACTTTATAGAAACGAATTGATCTTAAAGTAAATCAAATAGTATATGCAATTAACAATATCATCGATCTAATACGCTAGAGAAAAGGATTCATTGCCTGTGTATGTGTTTTCATCGATTACCCATTTGCCATCTTTTCACCACCTTTCATACTCACTTCGCTCGACACAGACGACCATCCGCCTGCTCAGACCAATACTCGCTCCCTACTGCCTCAAACGCATGAAACGTAGGATTGGGATCATAGGTTTCCTTACTGAACTTTAGATTCGCACAATTATTGTGATAGAAAGTACACTGCTAGTTAGGTCGATTTAAATCTGCTTCATTGAGGTGAGCGCCACTCCGAGGCGTGATCTTAAGGATAGGGGAAAGATTACTCGTCATAAGCTTTGATTAATAACATCGGCTGTACAGTTATAGTAGTCAAATCCCTAGCAAATACGAGTATAATCAAAGAAAGGGTGCTTAGGACTAGGCACATACGTACCAAGCACGATATAAAACGCAGCGTCTCTTCACGTCGGATTGACCAGGCCTGGGCGTCGTACGGGGTAAAGGTGTTCTTGATATGGCAAACGCTGGGTAAAGGTACGGTCGTGGTAAGCTTGACACCTAATACTGTCATTAATGAAATTACTAGGTCTAAATATTGGCAAGACAGGAGTGACGCGGACGTCGGCCAGAAATACCCCTCCTGATTTCTTTGCTTTATTTGCAATGTCACGATTCAGGTCGGTTCGATGCACCAGCGCTTAACCACAAATCCTGTCCGATGAATCAGTCGGCGCCAACCATCACATATCATGGAATCTCAGGCACGTATTGTTAAGATCTCTCATAGCAAGGGCCAGTGGAGTTACTATCGAGGTAGAATATTAGGAGGGAATCAGGTGCTTGCTGGCCAACCTGACAAAATATCGCTTAATAACCCCCAAAGTGCATACCTGTGCGAGAACTACATCTTATTGGATTACAACTCTGACGGGGCTCGATATTCAGGAGTGGAGACCCAGTCAGCATCTCTGCAGCTTACATTTGGCGAGTCCCTCTTATTATTGGCGCCTGCTAGTCTTTGCATGTATGATGAACATATACTATGTGAGGGTTACGATCAACAGGCTTGCTAGAGCGCTCCAAACAAAGCATGATCAGATGATGGGCAGCAGTAATACTTTTGGGAAAATGCATAATCAGCGCAATTGCTACATATCGGTCCAAGCAGCCTGGAATCAGACGGCAAATCCATAGCATCAAAATGCGCTTTTGCGTGGTGTAATATTTACGCGAAACATATCACAAGTCACCGGCATTGGCACCGTCGCCCTTCCTTTCGAAGTATCAAGTCTAGGAAATGGATGATTTCCAACCCCACCAAGTACATTCACGTCATAGCGGCACAAAACAATAGCAACAAAGTACATCACAAGCTGAGGTGCCATTGTCATGCCCCCGCACCGATGAATTCCATCGCCAAAGGGTCTGAAGTACCTTGAATTTGCCAGTCCCGGATTGTCAAGGAAGCGTTGATATTTAAACTCCTCCGCATCAAGACCCCAATGGGATTTACTCATCTGGAGGCGGTTATAAGGGATGAGAAGAGTAGAACCCTTCCTTAGGAGATATGGACCAATTTCTGTATCTTCCGAAACATGGCGGAATACGTGTGGGCCGGAGTGAATGCGCATAATTTCCTCAAAGGTGGCCTTGAGGATTGGACAGCACTCAAGCCGTGCTGGGATGTCGGCCGGCGTAATGGGGCTGTTTCTTAAAAATGACTCTTCACATTCTTTCCGTATCTCTAATAGCAGACCGGGGTTATAAAGAAGTCTGCACAAGAGCCAGAATGCAACAGTGGATGGATTGTCGAGCATGCTGTATTTAATTTAGTGATAATATTCCAAGCACTGATTCCAAATGATAATGAGGAAACTATAAACTCATTCCTAATAAATCTAAACAAACATCTTTGCCAACTCTTCCTCTGAAACAGCTGCTGAGCGAATTTCATCTTCAGCCTTAGTCACGAACTCTGCACAACCTATTTTGGCTTCTTTGGGTAGGGCAAAGTATTTGGCAAGAATCTGTGCTAGCTTGTCACAGGCAGTGTAAGCTTTGGGGGCAAGAATCCTAGGATGCCTGGTAAAGATGGCGTATATATTGGTCTGAAGGAGAAACATGTTGTTCATTATTTCTGGAAACATATCTAAACATACTTTTCCCATCGCACCGTCACTGATGGTCATGATAAAGGCATCCACAATCCATTTGAATAATGAAACCTTGTTCGGCTCAGTAATAGATCTTCTCAGTGGATCAGAGGCAGCCAAAGGTGTTAGAGTTCTATCTATCTGTGCAAGTATATTTAAAGTGAGAGGGTTCTTCTGTGGTTGTGCTTGCAGAGCTCTTCGTATGTTCTGGGTGATTGAGTGAGGGATTGGCTCTTTTCTTTTGGCAGTGACTGAGGACTATAAACGTGCTCTTGTTGTGCCTGGGATACCAGATGCTGCCATCATGATATCAAGAAATTGGTTGTTGCCCATAGATTTGGTTTGCTTGTGAATCTCAGCAATCAGTCTTGCATCTTGGACCACATATAGTGATTGACCGCCAACTTGAAGGCGAAAAGTGCCATCTTCGGTTTCTAGATACGGGCTGTGGATTTGTTAAGGTTGGAAATGGTGCTCTCGCTCTGGGAGGGGCTTTACATGGCGTTTTCTATCGTCTTATCGGGGTTTCTGAGGAATGAGAAAGTGTGGCTGACACCTGAATATATTTAGCCTTGTCTTGAAAAGGTTACTGTGAAAGTAATTGTAATCCAATCACTTGCCTGGTATCCAGTAAGGAATCAATGGTGGTTCTCGACGATGAACGTGTCGACTACTCCATTGTCTTATCGCATACCATAGACAGTATATGACAATCGCAAAACCGACTTGTACATAGTTGCTAGAACCAGACACGACCGCCATAAGAGCCATGGTAGTTAGCGACCCTTTGGTTATGAGGTCAGCCTGAGAAACAACAGGAAAGGTGATCAAATCATAGGGTAGCTTCCCGAACCAAATGGCACATGGGCTTTTTAGATAAAGATATGGTCTTTAATACGAACGAGAGCGTTTATGACATGTCAAAAGAACTGTTCCCTTACACTTGCCTTATATTGCATAGTATAAGCACAAGTGGATTTGGAATATAGAACCGTGAGATCCAGCTTCTCATGCGACCATCAGCCTCCGGAGATATATGGCCATTGCAGATTTTAAACATCTCCATATTATGCACGCTGGATAGGCACACATCCTGAATACAGCGCTCAACGTGCAGGTTATTGACTCCTTGAATAGGCTCATCAGTTACCGGCAGAATGTGATTGTCAAAAATGGCGTTCGGTGGGTCCCCGCAGAACACTAGTATATTGCAGGTCGGTTCAGACCGCGAGACTGACAGGCACGATTTTATCTGCAACTAAGAATGAATACTCAAGTCTATGAACATCCACGGTCGACAAAAATATTTTTTATTTTGTCTCAGGGTTAAGGGGTTTGTGATTGCTAAATCATTTCTCTAATGCCTGGCTTTGTCCGGTTTTGCGACATGAGATGCTTTAGGCGAGCAGGTGCGGTATCGAAAAAATACAAAAAAGAAATTGACCTACGCAGGACTCGAACCTGCAATCTCTTGATCCGTAGTCAAGCGCCTTACCATTGGGCCAGCAGGCCAATTGTTGAATTAATGGCATCTATTTTTGCTATATGTGCCAAACTTCAAGCAGAACCGACAAATCGTTTCCTATGTATTCCTGAATCTATCCCTGATATTAAGCAATCACAGGGGTATTTACCCCAAGATGGTTATCATGCTAGAATACATTGTGTACCCTCATTTCTATAAATAGAAACAGCTGTTTTGAATTAGATTTAGCCTTACCCTCGTCCATGCTACTAATGATTCGGATTAAATGAGGTGAACAACTCGGCTCATTTATTATATTCTGGTACTACTGATTATTGTGAGTAGTAGTACCTTTGTGACATGATGAAGCGGTACTTCCATAGGATCTGCCTCTACCTTGCTCAATAGCTGCCTCATAGTTTATCCAGCACATCATGCACTAATATTAGCCCATTCATCACCAAGCAGAGCAGAAAGTAAGATGTAATTGAAGCCCAGTACCAGAGCAGAGAGGAGGGGAACAGGCATGGCGGATGGGTAAAAATGTAATTATCCTCTATACTGTAGCGTTTTCTGCAAAACAGAGCCATTGCTTCGAATGTCATGCTGCGCAAACATTCTCTCCAAGCGCAGTTGTCTCCCACGAAATACTAAAGAATAAAATGGAAAAGGCACAAAAATACACATCAAACCGCCCAGCAGCGTATATGTCCAACCTACCCTCAGGTTATCATGCATGACAGCCGCAGACAAGGGAAAGTCTGGTGAAAACGACGAACGCACAGAGTCATTGCAGGTGAGTACTGATGCCGCATACCTTCTCTACGAACGTGCAAGGAAGCAGAGATTAGGATGATCAAAGATCAAGCATCCATCCACTGAGAAGAGCACCATAGCCGCAGTCGGGGCTATCCAGTAAACAGACTCAAAGTTATCAGTCCACCGAAAACAAGATTGAGACTGGTAAACAGATACTGCCCATACAAACCGGAGGGAGCTTGTACTTCAATGGAAAGAGCCTTCAGCTTTCCCGACCCGCTTCGACTGATAGCCACGCAAAATAGCCGGGTATGATCTTCTCCTACCACCAAGAAAAAGGAAAGAATTCTGGAAACTAATAATCCTAAAGGCTTAAAAAAAGAGCATACCCTTACAAGGAGCAGAAAAATCCACTAATCGGTGGAACAAACGCTGTTATGCGCATTTCTATAGTGGCTCCTCCACGTTCTGTTTTATTGAACCCAATCATCAGGTTTCTCATAGCTGATATACATTATATGGATAGCGGTGCAGTGAGGAATTATTGGATACCTTGTCGACTATTCCCTACGCCAATGCGCCTCCAAGCTATAATAAAGAGTTGACCAAGCGGTGTATATTTATTTTGCATTATCTTGTTGCTTGCAGGAAGCGGCCACGGACGGGTGATAACAAGGTTCAAGAGGTAGTTACCGCCATACTGGTCGGGCTCCGCCCACACCGCATCTTCTCATGCCATCGGCCATTGGAACCTGCGAAAACATGCAATTGCACTGGAAATTTATGGAATTGTAGGCACTGATAGCCCACGATACTACGTAAGCGTCCCATAGCTTCAGACATGCGTGAAAAGCCTCTTCCCCACCTATTGACACCTGATCAACTGAGGCGTGAACGTTTAGACTGGCAGGTGAAGTTGCGCATAATGTATAGTAACTTGAGGGGACGCCTGCGTAGGAAGCCTGGTCATCAGGACAGTACCACTTACTTTACTGTGGACTGCCCGCTTTGCAAGATATTCAATTTCAAACCGATTGACGTCTGTGGCTCACGACTGGCAATTTCAAGGGCCAATGTGATGTTTTCTAGAAGTACCCAATGCCTGACCGAGAGAAATGTGAGCTAGACAGCATAATAAAATTGTTTGTCTGCCGAGGAGTGTCGTGGTATCCTTTCTTGCAGAGGTATGCTCACAGTTATTGTCAATCAACAGTTTTGCGTCATGGCTAGAGGCTTTAGACCTGATAAGCGAAGGATATGTTGTAACTTCTTACCTTCCAAGTCTTTACGGGCCAACATAAAATCGAACCTACCCTGACCTGATTAAGTAGACTCCCCGGTCCTCCAATGGATCACTCCTATGATAAGACTGCTCCTGCCAAATTTGAGCAAAGAAATGGCTCAGGTAGCATTCGACCAAACGGAGGTCCTGGGTATGTAACAAACACAACAACAGACACTACTACTAGTACACGTGGGATGTTTGCTCCATGTAGCTTGCGATTTGTTCATTGCTACGTGCTAATTCTCGGTCCGGTTCACAATCCTTCAAATAAGTGCTTTCCATACGCGGCAACTTTGAAAGTACTGTCCGCACATGTTTGTCTAACCCTGTCGCTGCATAGTCCGCGGTTTGCCAGGCTAATAAGATTACGCATCGTTACTGCAGGCGCTGTCATTATATAGGAACAAACCAAGTCCACGGCTATATTCCAGTCACAAGGACCAGTGCGAACTGGTGACACTGCGGCGACAATTATCGAAGTAACACCATGGACGGCTTTGATGCTACCCAAGCCCCAGCGGCTTACCGAGACGTTGAGCCCATTGTCAATATTCTCACCCTGGGCATGGCATTGGGCTGGCTAACCAATTACGCTGCCATGATTCACATTTCTTTCAAAGAGAAGACATACGCAATGGGCATTATGCCTCTCTGTTGCAACATTGCCTGGGAGTTTTCTTACGGAGTAATATACCCACCGAAGAATCGACTGGAATTGATCGTTACGGTAATTGCGCTTATCGTCAACGTCGCGATCATGTACAGCGCTATAAGGCACTCACCCAATGATTGGTCCCATGCCCCCCTGGTCCAACGAAACATTCGGTGCATCTTTGCCGTGTGTACTTTTGGCTTCCTTACGGGACATATAGCTTTTGCGGAATGTATTGGTCCTGCAGTTGCATATACCTGGAGTGCGGCATTCTGCCAATTGCTTCTAGGTACCGGCGCCCTGTGTCAGTTGCTCTGTCGTGGGAATAGCCGCGGAGCATCGTATCTTCTGTGGTAAAACACCTCAAATGGTCTAAAGCAAATGCAAAGCTGACTTCCATATCACTTGTAGGATTTCGAGGTTCATTGGTTCTCTTAGCGTGGTGGGTTTGGCTGCGTTGCGTTGGAGATACTGGCCTGAGGCATTTGCTTGGCTGGACAAACCTTTGATTTTGTGGTCAGCGGGGATGTTTCTTTTCCTAGACTTGTCATATGGCCTCTGCTATTGGTACATCCGGAGAATTGAGAAGAAGAAGGGTTTGAGACAAGACCATCTTGCCAAGTCTCGATGATTAGTGATCCACTAGTACTGGGAGTCGGACTTTGGGATCGCCGGGGGATATAAGGATTGCCACGCCATGCAGGAAGGAATAAGCACCCGCCTACCATAAGCAAGGAACACTAGGTCTCTTCATTGTATTTTAACAATTATCCGGATAGCTGATAGCAACTGTGGTCCTTTTTGTAATGCATGGTGGCAGACTTGCCCGCTGCTGTGTCTATCGTGGGCACCATTGAAGTCACTGGGTGGTTATTCTTGTCCAAATCGCTTCACTGTTCCCTGCAAACGCACACAACTATTTCCTTCCTATTCTTCTACGATATATAGATTTCGATGGATGAAACAGAATACTAAAGGTAACATTATTGGAGGGTCAATCTCAGTCCTGACCCTCGCCCCTTGTGTTCACCATGCGAACATCTCACATATTATCCTTGAAAAGGCCTCCAACACGGCTCCGCTAATAGGGACATTTATCGAAATTATGCCGAACGGTGCTCAAATACTAGATCAACTTGGGCTTTGGGGACAAATAGAGAGTTACGTCGAGCCTCTCGCAGGGCTGATTGCTATTTAGTCTGGGGAATTTCAAGTGGAAATCTCGTACCCTAAGGTCATGCACAAACGGTATGTGTGATTTACTGGAAGACGCGATACATAGCCGCTATTAGGAAATACATAGGTTCAAGTATCCTATTGCATTCATAGATCGACAAAATGTGGCTGTCTTATAGGGTACCAAGTAAATTGCTTTACAAGCGTACTCCCAGTGGTAAAAGTCGCAGCCTGCTGATTATCCTACAAACAAATATGAGAATTTGGAGTATTTGGTGTATGTTAGGGGACTCCATGTGTTCATTACAAATGCTGGATCTGGATAGGCTCCTGAGGCTCTCCGAGAATGCCTTCCCCATCGGGCAGTTCAAGTGCGGGAGCCAATCAGAGGTCTCGCCGCTGGAGCCAAAAATTTCCTCGAAAATCCCAAGGAAGTCATCCATCCTACCCCAGAACAACTACTATCTAGCATTGACCTCTATCTCAAGAGAAAGGTCTGGGCAGTGTTAGTCTCATCATTCTCGGTCCTTGCGACTCGCCTTCGCCCAAGTACCGATTTAGTCGGTTACTGCGATGTGTCCCCAGGACTCCGTCAACCCCTCTCACCACTACTAGTTCACCCAGTGCTCCCCGCCCATACTCTCTCTCTATTTGGCCCGCCTCTTTGAGTCTTCACGCGGCCACAAGGGGTCTCGGATCCCACCACTGTCACACGGAACTCGTTTGTTCGTCTTGATACACTCAAAATGGAGGCATCTGCAAACGAAGGTAGTTTTGCTCGTCCTCTGCAACCTCACAAGCACTAACAGTTCATCTTCTCCATAGGTCTTTTGGCCTTCTGGCATTCCTACCGCTTACCTCTCCTCCTTGCTCTCGCTACCCTTGTCGTTCTCGTTCGCGCTTATCGTAAGCTGCAGCCCAAGTCCAAGATTGCTACTGCTTCCTCCATCCCCTCGTCGCCTCGCAGCCATTCCCCGGAAAAACGGGAAAAGATCATCAGCCAGTCTACGGAGAAGGATGTCAAAGCCGACTCAAAGCCCTCGGTTGTGGAGAAGGACGCGTCGCAAAAGCAGGCCGGTCCGAAGCGGGTCACAGGAAAGAAGCCGTTAAAGGTTGCTGGCCGGCGTAGAGGTTCTGACCAGGAACCCCCTGTCTCCTTCATTCAACCCATCATCTTCTTCGCTTCGTTGACCGCAAACACCGAGAGATATGCCCAAGTCTTGCTGGAAGATTTGCGTGCTGCTGCGCGCGACCGGGCCGATCCTGACAATCGGGAACGAGGCCTCCTTCCCCCCCAGATTCACGACCTGTCCTATGTCGATTTTGACGACTACTTCATCAGCGCCCCGAAGCCCCCCTCGACTTCGCCAGGAACACGCTATGTCTATTGTATGCTGATCCCGACTTACAACATCGATACCATCTTGAACACCTTCCTCGGTCACCTCGATGAAACTCATCATGACTTCCGCATTGATACTGCACCTCTCTCTGGTCTCGCTGGCTATTCTGTCTTCGGATTTGGCGACAGGGAAGGATGGCCTACCGAAGAGGAAGGGTTTTGCTCACAGGCCAAGGAACTGGATCGCTGGATGGCGAAACTCACAGGCAGGAAGAGGGCCTACCCTCTTGGTTTTGGAGATGTCAAGAGCGATGCGGACTCGGCCTTGAAAGAGTGGTCCCGCGGCCTACAGGATATTCTCGGTGATATTGTCGAAAATGGCAGCCTAGGTGAAGGTGTCCCTGGTAGTGGTGATCCGCTCGAAAGTGATGAGGAGGATTTGGACGACGAAGGTTCGGACTCCGACAAGGCAAACGGTCGGAAGAGGAACAAGAATCAGTCGGTAGTCGACCTGGAAGATATTAAATTCAGCTCGGACGCTGCATCCGGATCCCCTATCCCAGTGGATTTCACTACGGGTGGAAAGACTCCTGCGCCCGCCACTGAGAAAGAGATGGTGCCCAAGACCTCGCCCACCTATGCCTCTCTGACTAAGCAAGGATATACCATTGTTGGTTCGCACTCTGGCGTCAAGATTTGTCGTTGGACCAAGTCCGCCCTGCGTGGTCGTGGCTCCTGTTATAAGTTCTCATTCTACGGTATTCGCTCTCACCTGTGCATGGAGGCAACTCCTTCGCTTTCTTGCAGCAACAAATGTATCTTCTGCTGGCGTCATGGTACCAATCCTGTCGGCACCACTTGGCGTTGGAAGGTAGATGATCCGGAACTCATTTTCAATGGTGTCAAGGAAGGACATTACAAGAAGATCAAGATGATGCGTGGTGTTCCGGGTGTGCGTGCGGAGCGATTCGCCGAGGCTATGCGGATCCGTCACTGTGCTCTCAGCTTGGTCGGCGAGCCGATCTTCTATCCCCATATTAATCGTTTTCTGGACATGTTGCACAGCGAGCACATCTCCAGTTTCCTTGTCTGCAATGCCCAACACCCTGACCAGCTTGAAACTTTGCATCGGGTGACGCAACTTTATGTCTCCATCGATGCGAGTAACCGCGAGAGCCTACGCAAGATCGATCGGCCTCTGCACCGCGACTTCTGGGAACGCTTCCAGCGCTGCTTGGATATCCTCCGGGAAAAGCGTCATTACCAGCGGACGGTGTTCCGTCTTACGCTGGTCAAGGGATTCAACATCGACGATGAAGTGATTGGATATGCCAACCTGGTCGAAAAGGCTCTGCCTTGCTTTATTGAAATCAAAGGCGTGACTTACTGTGGTACCAGTACCAGCGCCGGAGCTGGATTGACGATGCAGAACGTTCCTTTTTACGAAGAGATTCAGCAGTTCGTCACTTCTCTCAATGCAGAGCTAGAACGCCGTGGTCTGAAGTATGGTATTGCCGCCGAACATGCTCACAGTTGTTGCGCGCTCATCGCGTCCGAGCGGTTCCACGTTAATGGCAAGTGGCATTCCCGGATCGACTACGATAGGTTCTTCCAGCTCTTGGAGAAGGAGAAGGCCGATGGTACCTCGTTCACGCCGGAGGACTATATGAGAGAAACCGAGGACTGGGCGCTGTGGGGTAACGGAGGCTTCGATCCGAACGATGAGCGTGTCTATAGGAAGGGCAAGAAGAAGGCCATTCAGGCTGCTGCTGAAGCTCAGGGATGATCGGCCTCTTCACATGGTATATGTGCCTATACATGGGTTGGGTTCCATAGCAGCCCGTTGGTTTGCCCGCGAGTCTCATTCCATGACGCAACCAAAAGCCCACACTCTTTCCGAGACTCCTTTCATCAGAGCTCGACCTACCAGCAGCGTGCCGAACAACGCTGCTTCACAAACGATGCGAAGTATCGCCCCACTGATTTCACGGACTTCGTTCGGGGAATGACGAGCCCAAGTTCTCCGTCCATGGACTCTTCCCCAAACCTCGTTTCACAGTGCCCGAGCATTCCGTGCCGCCGTTGTGAGGCCCACAGAAACGCTATATACGAAACGATAAGGCTAGTAGATTTCATTTATGACTTCCTGTATCTAGTTCAAATTACGAAATGACACATGTCAAATGACGTTTTGTAGCTTATGATCATACGAGTTTTGCTTAAGTGGGTTTGTTCTGACAGCCGTTGATTATGGTTCTGTGTGGCCGTTTCATAATCCTTTGTTCCATACGTCTTCGCAAATGGCCTTCAGATCGTTCTCCCAACCTCAGAACTGCTGTACTACAGGATGTCATGGCTTGGCACGTCTTTCTCTAAGGCTGTCCTTGGCCGTGCATTCTGGCTCGAGCCGAGAAGAAGATCCATCGGCTGGGCTTTCTGTCGATCTGCTCCCAAAAGGCTCTCACCCAGGAACAGCTCGGGCTGAACAAATTTCGTACTCGACTGACGCGCCGGTGGATTGGTCGCCTGCGTCGGCTAGTCATGCTTGTGGGGAACGATCCGAAGAAAGTGGATCAGCAATCAGTGGGGACCACTTTCTGAACTGCCGTGCAGGTATGACTGCTTCAAACATATCGTCAATCTTGCTGGGCGTCCGATCTTTCATCTCTGGCTTGTAAAGCCACACTTCCACGAGGGCAATGGCCGAGAAGCCCGCACATACAAAACCGGTCTTATCGCGTAGGGCCCCCTGATCAGGGCTAAAGATGTACGGTAAGATGAGGTTGAAAACGACGCTGGAGAGTCCGGAAACGAACCAGCCCAAACCTTGGGACTTGGCCCGAAGCCGCAGAGACGATGATTCTCCACCAACAGCGTAGGATGCTGGCCATGCACCAATACCGCAGGCCGTGATTACCGTGACTAGTGTGTTTCCCGTGTACCTGAACGACCATTGGCCTTGGTTATTGCATATCATTTCCAGACAACTTACCAAACGCTGAAATATTCCCGGGAAGCAGTCGGCAATCCCCATTCCCATCCAGGCGAGGGTCGAGACGCTTAAGCTGACAATAATCAGAGGCACACGGCCAAATTCAAGCAAGGTTTGCATGCTGATGAGGTTAGCTGCCAGCCTCAATACAATGCCAGTTTGTAAAAACAGAAAGCTCCTGTGGTGCTTCATGCCGATTAACTGCAGAAAATATTTGGTCTTAGATAACAAGGGTAGGCCGAAAATGGAAGGGATGAGGTTCGCAAACATGACGATCATGGTACGCCGCCGGTCGACGCCTCTGAAGCAGTCACGGTACCCAATCGCCTTACTTGCCCCGTCTCGATCCTCTTTTTCAATGAACGACCGTAGTCGCTCGAAACGTTTTAGCGACTCGATAAGGCCGGAATAAAGTCATCGCAATGATTTGTGAGCGGCATTTATTCGATCTTTTCGAATGAGATACGTCGGGCTTTCGGGGAGAATAACTGCGACTAGCAGAGGTAATGCAGAGAACGGCCACTGTGAGACGAAGCAATTATTAGATCCCATGCTTCCGGCAATATCTAGAGACTTGTACACCACTAAACTACCCATCAATTGACCCAGGAGCATGAAGATCGGAAAGAAGGCCAGCATCGGGCCTCGCAGTACGGGAGGCAAGATCTCAGACATGTATGTTTGGGCTGTGCATGTGATCATATGAACAGCGAGACCCTTGCACAAGCTTTGCGAATAGAAAGAGTGCTCGGCGGGCGTCTATGTCATTTGGCATGTTCGATACATATGCGACTGCGACTGCAGCTGCAGACAGTATAGCCGCAAAGGCTAAGCAACAGCGACGTCCGGCACGATCTTGTAACTGTCCTGCGGCTATAGCGTCAAAGAGACCGCCAAGTGGGCTAGCTACGTCCCATAGGCTCAGCCATAAGGACGGGGATGATGAGTGCGCCGTTCAATCGGCGGCCGGAATTGCGTCTCGCGAGGTCAGAGATGCTACGAAGACACAACACGAAACAGTGCTTACTGGAACTCTGACATGGCGGAAACATTTCCCACGATGACTAAAACAAATCCATAGAGAAGGATACCAAACGCCAGTGCTACGCAATAACCCAAGGTCTTCGGGTAATGTTCGATAGCTGCCAAGAGCGATGAGGAAGGTGTTCCCTGCGAGGAGAAAGGAACATGTTGCCTAGGAGGAACCTTACTATTCCTTGATAGGAGCATTATGCCTGTGCGTAGAGCAGCGGTCAACAATCGTACGATTGATGGCATGATATCCCCTTTTAAGTATCAACGCCGCGGCATGAATATACTCTGGAAACTCAGGGCCGACCGGGGGTAGTTCCCCGTGCCTACGTGAAGTCTACACGAGGTTGTACGATGAGTTTGGACGAGGTTCCAATTGCAACGAACCCATGCCACTATTGGATGCGATCAAAGTAAATGGTGGGTTGAGTAACCCGGGTATGTAGCCATCGGTATGATGAGTGCATGCACGGCTGCGTCGTGACTTCGATTGTTCTGACTGCTGACTTGGCAGTCTGTTCGTCGATGTCGATTCCACTGATTGCCACCGGAACAGTCACATGCTGTAGGGACTTGATCTGTTTGACAGAATGCGTGAAACATCATGATCTTGCAACTTCTGGACATCGGATGAACGGAACGAGGTGTACCAATAGAGCTAGGCCACGATTTCGTAACGTCGTTGTCTCTTTGGCATTGATTTGCACCTGGTCGGTGTAGGTCACTCTGGCCAGCCTGGGCCATAGGCAGACTGACTGTCCGTAGACTAACTGATGCTAACCAAGTTTAGATGGTACTTGGGCTTGAGCACACTGATTTTTTGTTGAGGGGAAATCCTGTTGACATGATAACAATCCTCTGTTGGGCATCAAGCAGTGGAGAGTTCGAAAAGGGTCCTGCGAGCCGTCATCGGAGACAGCTATGAGCTTCGCTCAAAAGACCGCTGACTGACAGGGTACTTGGATCACGAACATGCGCACTTAGACGGCAGTCAGTCGCTAGCTTCTCGACGTGAGCCGTCCTCAGGGGATGCTAATGCTGCAGAAAGGTTCTCCTAAACGTGCTATAACAGCGGGAACGGATTCATCCTAGCCGTCTTGTCCTTGCAGGGATACGAAAATTTAGCCTGGCTAGTCACTGGGGATCTCTTGAGGAAGACCAGTCAGAAGACTAGTCTCCAAAGCAGAAAAAGCAAGACAGGCACTAAGTAGCCGATCAGGAATGTTCTAGGAATGCCAACCATCCCGCCAGTCCCTGTCCCTTTCACGTGCCGAGATAAAGACGAAGATCAAAAAAGCAATTATTGCAGGCGGACTTCAGGGGGGAAGGAGTTCCTGCTTCGCCGTTGCTTACTGTTTGTTTGTTTGTTTGTGTGTGTGGCGAGCTGCGAGGGACTTTTGCCTTTCTGGAAACGGTTTCCGATCGACGGAGATTGCGGAACAACCCTGGTCTAGTACGTTGCCGGGCTTCCGCGGACTTGCGAGGGCTAGGATTCCGTGGGAAGCATTTGGATTCAATTTTGTTTGCTTGTTGCTGGTCGGCTGTTTTGTGTGCGGTGGAACTCGGATAGTGGCAGCATCTGATCTATCGCAGTCAATCGTCTTGGTGGTTTCTTTTTTGGAAAATCCGCCACGTGCTGCGGACGCGCTCGGACAAATGGCTTCCATGTGGCAAGATGGTCCTTTCCTACGCACGCCTGTGTGTCACTGAGATGAGGATTACGTTGGGACACCTCATGGCCTGTCGATGGTGAAACGGCCAAACTGGATTTCATGGTGACAGGCCCTTTCTCCGTCGGGGACCAACGTCAGCCAGCAAGTGAGAAGGTCCACGCAGTGTGGTCCCCCATATATTTGCCGGTATTATTTTCCTATTATCCTTTCTGGGTCGGGCTCACATGCCAGACTCAGAGAGAACAATGGCCTTGACTGGGGATCAGCTCGGGGACTTCTTTCTAAAATTAACGCCAATTTAAATTACACTTCGGCATGCGGGCCTGCTGTCTGCAGTGTGCTGCTAGTCGACTGCTCTTGCGTTCTATCAATCGCTCCATCGACCATGTTAGATCCGCTTAGTGTCCTGTGGCAGGCATTTTAGCGTCCGCGACTTTCCTCCAAAAGGGAAAAGAAAGTCAAGAGGCTACCGTCCGCCTGGGACCTGCACAAAAAGGAGGGAGGAGGGAGGAGGGGGGAGGGGCCCATGCAGGAGCAGTAAGATTGCTCACCGAGATGATCCTGCATCCTGCAGTCAGAGTCAAGCCCGGTTTCCGTCGGGCTAACTAAAGGCAAGCATCGATTTAACCGGAATAAAATGAATGGTTTCTGGCATGAGTGGTCGATATGGCTCAGTGTCAAAATCAAAACATACTGAAGGGATCCACACAGAGCATTCAACACCGTTCGAGAAGCCGGCTATTGATGCATGCCGCATTGTATCTGAGCGACAGTCAATAGTGGCAATTCCTTTTGATGGCTGGAGATTTCACAACACATTATTTGCATTCATTCAATTTGTTGTTTGCCATCCGTGCCTCGAGGCGGGCTATCCCCACCCTCCGGATGGGCTTCCGTGCCGGCGAAGGAGACCCGGTGAAGCCCTCTTTTTTCCCAAATAGCAGAGGATCTGCTTGAGTTGTGAGGCTGTCAATCTCTGACGGGGCGGGGATTTCGCTACACCAGATGTCTGAATTATTTTGGACAGTAACTCCTGGAAGTTGGAGGGTTTTTACTCTTTCTCCCACTATTTTTTTTTCCCTTCTATTTTTGCTGGGAACGCGTCGGTAAGCTACGCGGTTCCCCTTCTTCCCAGCCCCTGGATTCAGTCCACCGCAACCACAGCAACTCCCAAGTGCCAAACCAACAACCTAATCTCCCTACCATCCATGGTTCTACCCCCTCGCATTCGGGGACTCCCTGCCCATGACAGTTAGAGAGGGACGGCCCCTGTCCCGATAGAGTATAAAATTTCTGCACCGTCCCTGACTCGTCCGTCGGGGATGCTTCCTTTCCTGGTGGCAAACCCGACCGAAGTGGATCGACAGCACCACGCACCCAATCGACGCCCGCTGATGCACTGAAACTACCGACAGGCTGGAGCAGCATCTCCTCCACCTCCAAATGCAGACTAATCGCAAACACGCTTAAGAAATCAGAAGCCATTCGCAGACGGGCCCTGACTCGAAGGGAGTCCGCTCACGTCTCCCATCCACAGACAAGACCCAACAACGGCCTGCCAGCCCTGAATCCACCGCAATTATACTGGACCGTGGACACGGTCCAACATATGCAAAAGTAGAAACAAATTGACACTTCCTGCAGTCCAACTAAGCGAGCCTGTCCAGCTCGCCTGCTCAGCTCGCCTGGCTCAAGTTAGTCCTACGTGTAGATCGCCTTCTCTTTTAGGAGTGCGCACAAGCCCATCACCGTCTCCTGGCGGAGGACGGATGAACATCTGCGACCCGACTAGTCCTGCACCGTTTGGGATCCGACGCGATTAGCTTCGTGTCTACTGCTAGTCCCGGTACTGGTTCTGGACCTCCCCGGCATTTCGGGCCTTCTCATATATTGGGTCATCCCCACCCCGCGTGAGCTGAGCTGAGCTTTCTCGAACATGCCTCGACTGCGTCTGTAGCATGGCTAAGGATGACCGCAGCCTCGAGGTCAAGGCGGTTGCGGCCGCCTTTATGTCAGTTGCGTGTGTGACTGTCATACTGCGATGTTATGTGCGCGGATGGATCGTGCGAGCCTTCGGCTGGGATGACTGGGCCATGGTGGTGGCCATGGTACGTCTGATCCTGTATTGACTTGCAAAGCATGGTGTTCTAATCAGCAGCATGTCTAGGGCTTCTACGCCATGTTCTCGGGATGCATGATTGGAGGCAGTCTGTACGGTACTGGGCGACGTTTCAAAGACTTGGATGCGCATCAGCGTGTAACCGCCATGGAGGTCGGTACTCCTATTCCTTTCACCCTCATACAATCCACCTAACATGCGCCGAATATAGTACTGGTGGTTTTGTGAGATCGCCTATTGTTTTGCAGCCGTCGCCTGTAAAATCTCCGTCTGCATTTTCTTGATGCGCATTACTGTTCGACGCCTTCATATCTGGATCCTCTGGACCGTCATGGTCTTGACCGTCATTGCCGGCATGGTCTTCATGTTCATCATGTTGCTGCAGTGCAAGCCACTCGCCTACTTCTGGACTCGCAAGGCTTTCAACCCGGATATTCACGGCCACTGCATGGACATACAAATCGTCATCGCCATGACCTACGTATACAGTGGCTTCGCAGCGCTGTGCGATTTTACCGTGGGCCTTTTGCCTATCTTCCTTGTGCGCAAGTTGCATATGAAACAAAAAACGAAAATGGCCGTGGTGGGCATTCTGAGTATGGCATGCATGTATGTTGCCTCGCTGCTTCGAAGCCTATCCGATAAAACTAACCAACCCCAACAGCGCCTCCTCTGCTACCATCATCCGTATCCCATGGGTACATACCTTCGCGGATTGGGACTTTCTCTGTACGCCTCCCACACTCTATCCAAACCCACACAAACCCCTTACTAACCTCAGCCAGACGCAACCGTTGAAATCGCCCTCTGGTCCAACATCGAATGCGGCCTAGGTATCACCGCCGGCAGTCTCGCCACCCTCCGCCCCCTTCTCCGCAAATGGCTCGGCTCCAGCGCCGACCCCAACTACGACGCATCCCCTTTCCCCGGTCCCTCTGGCTCGCGCCCGCTCGGCAAGAGCGGCGGCATGGGACGCAGCCACGACCGGCCCTACCCACTAGGCTCGCTCGATGAAGCCGCCGTGCAGAACCGTCTCCGGCCGGACAAACTGGCCGTGACCGTAACGACGATCCAAAGCCAGGTGGACCCCGATACGCGACTCTGGCGCGGCGGGTCATCGAACAGCAGTGAGGAACGGCTGACGGGATCCTCGGGCAACGCGGAGCGAACGCATGGAACAATCCCCGAGGGGTCTGATTTGGAATTAGGCATGGGATTAGGTATCCATCGGACGTTTGAAGTGACGCAGACTTCCTCGGGAGGCACGTCACATAGTACTGTGGGGGTGAGGGAGCATGTCTGATAGATACCTTTGTCCTTTTTTTCTTATTGATTCCCCTGGGTGTATACATTATTCGGGTTGCATTGGGCTGGAGTGGGTGGATCTTTTCCTTTGTTTTTTTTCCTTTTCTTTATATTTGGGATTAATGAACATCGCATATATTGCATCTATAGCATGTTGCATAGAGCGAGCGCATGAATATAATGATTTACTTCATTACCGAACGAACTAGTTTTATGGGTGAAACCGCATACTATACGGAGTACTACTTGGCAGTGATCTGGACTCGTCAGAACTAAAAGCTTGGTAAGAGTTAGTTTACATGCATCGGGATCTGACATTCGGACGAACCCCGGACTTCTCGATTGATAGATCACATTCGGTGCTTACTTAGTTGGCGATCGATCGATCGATCAATCATTCAATCAATTGCTGACAGTCTGCATATGCAGGGAATTTGAAGTATCGAGTCGGGATGGGTCCCGGTTGGGCGGAGAATACAGCCGGTGCGAGTTATGTTAACTACTACTACTATCTATCTATCTATCTATACTTTGTAGGGTTGTTAATTGGAGTAACGATACTTGGTAGGGAGCTGTAAGCTACTGATCAATTACTAACCAGTCAACGGCATCGTGAGGAAATCAAGTACTCCTACTTACTATTATATATATTTTGAGTATTTCTAAGAAGTTGTTGACGCGCTAACCGCTAAGCCTGACAAGAACAATATATTATCGCGTGTAGGCATAGTACTTACTCGGCCAGACAACCGAGATACAAAAGTAGTACTACTACTATCACATCTAACTAGTATAGGAAGATACTATGAGAATTCAAAGGGATCGTGATATAGTAATTAATGATTCCCTACCGCCGTTCGCGATGAAATTATACCAAGCCTATGATAAGTAGTGAACTACAATACAACATGACATGACATGACAGGATAGTAACTATGATATAATATGATATATCAACAGTAGCCACAATTTTAGTACCCTTAGCCAAGGAACAACAACCAAGGAATTTCTTGGAAGTTATCACCATTAGCAGACTATGTTATAGGGGTTATTGTATGGTGAACCGGGATTTGTTATTCGGGATTCTATACTCAGAAACTTGGATGTGTTCCTCAGTGAGGACCTTGACAGGGCGGTTGTGGTTCTGGGCCTGGTCGGGTTCATTGCGGGATGAGTTATTTCCATGGTATAGGGAGGGGGTTGGGTATTGATGCATAATGATTGCTTCAACTGCTGTTATTATCAGCGCTGTTGTATAATAGGGTATGAAAGTGCCTTGGAAGGTTTGTGATATGTCGTTTTGTGTACTTGCGCTTCTGTTGGATGTTTCTTACGGGTTTGATTTCATGTTTTAGTAGATGTAGGAGGATTGTTTTTGGAAGTGAATGTCAGTTCAGTTAGTTTGGAATCTTAGCAGTGATCTAATCTCGTAAGTTAGATAATAGTAGCAGTGGGGTGTGCCTTACTGTGGTAGTGAGTACGTGTTTGTATAAGTCTTTATGTTGAGGGGTCAATTACATTCTCTTACTGGGTTGTTCTTCTACTCGGTAGTCAGTAGTGTGAGATACGTCTGGTGCTTCCTGTTCTATCGCTTTGAGAATTTGCAGTGATTTGGTATATCCTCTGCTAGAGCATAAAGCATATCATCATCTATTTACATTCTATATATACTTTTCACATTAATCATACCAAATAGCATTCATACCGAATCCCTTCTCCGGGATATCCACACGCGCAACCCGAGCCAGCGTCTCATCCTTGAAGCGGTAGATCTCCACAAATCCAAGCTGGTCATCGCACAGCGCCAACCACTCATCGCTAAAGTCGCACGGGCTAACCGCATTCGAGTGTCCACCACTCGTCGACGTAGGGTGAATAAACAGCTGCTTCTCAATGTTACCGTTCGGTCCCAGCTTGAACGCCGTGATGTATCCCGTGACATCGAAGTGGTTGCTACGGGTCGTGGCAAAGAGGTACTCTCCGCTGCGGGTAGTGAAGGTAACGTCGCCGCGGTACTTGTTGCGCGGGGGCAAACCCTGGGGCAACAGGGGGTATGTAATGTGGGTGAAGACGGGCTTGTGGGTGCGCTCGTCGATGACGTACACGGCCAGACGGTTGCCAGCTTCCATCAGGGCGTACAGGTATTTGCCGCTGGGGTGCATCTCGACCCAGCGGGGGTGGTCATCGGGAGAGGGAGCCTCGATACAGTCGACAAGGGTCAGCTTGCCGGTTTCGGGATCCTTCAGGTGTGTCCAGATCTTGTTGGCCTGGAGATCGGCGGAGTAGAGGTAGGTTTCGGTGGGGTCGAAGACCATGCCGTGGATACCGGTGTTGGGCTCGTACTCGTAGTTCTGGATGTTCTCGAGGAGAGCGCCATCGGAACCGGCAGAGAAGACGTTACCGTAGCCGGCGTATTTGTAGAAGGGGTTGCCGTAGACGTTGTAGGGGGGCTTGTGGGCGGCGAGGACGAAGATGGCGCGGGTGTTGGTGTCGGCGCTGGCGGCGAGTTCTGAGGAATTAGCGGGATTCATCGCAGAGAGAGGGAGAAGAATACACACCGTGACCAGCAACAGGGTGAGAGGCTTGGTGAACAATCTCCGTGGGGCTGTGGACGGCGAAGCTGTTCCACTTCTTCATGGCGGCGCCATAGATGGCCTTCTTGTCATGCTGGAGGGGTGTGAGCGGGGAGCAGCGGAGGAGGCATTGAAGACTATGCCTACCGAGAAAGTCATCCAGGAGATGGGCTCAGCCTCGGGGATGTCGGTCTTCTTGACGAGGTCGAGAGTGAGGGCCTCATCGTCAAAGGCGACGGTGTAGATGCGGCCTGGAGGGGTCCAGGTACCGACCATAAGATGATGCTTCATGTTGGCGGGGGCCGTAGGGGTGAAGAGGGAGGCTGTGAGAGTGAGAGGGAGGGGTGTATGTTTGGGAGGAATAGTAGAGAAGAGAGATGAACGAGCAATGGCACGGAACATAGTCCCCTGGAGACAGGAGAAGATGGAAGAGGAAGAGCCAAAGATGCGATCGGGAATGAAGGCGAGAAGCGCAGCCGATATTTCGCCCGATGCGGTAATGCGGGGAGCCGGCATCCGCGACCGGCAATCCGGGGTTGCCGATACAGCAGAAATATCAAGTATGCTCAAGGGTTCAATTATCGTTTGATTTGTTATAATATTCGAGTTCTGTCCATTATTAAAAACAAATACATCCAATAAGAGAAACATCTGATTCTGCCATTGTGGACGTTGAGGCATGGCACGTGCGCTGCCAATCCTCGCAGTCTATCTATCAGTTCAGCCCTCATTATGGAGCATCTTCAGCACACTCCAGTACCTAAACTGTCTGCCACTTACTCCATCGAGGAATATCTCACAGACCGAACAAGTCCTCAACCCCTAGGGTTACAGGTTTACAATTGATTCATGTCTCCTCCAGAGAAGACATCCCACTCCATCCCATCCACCGCTTAACCACGCCACCCTAATGTAATCAGTAAAGAAGAAACAAACATGATACAATATAAAGAAATAGAATTGTACATGATTATCAGCATACCTTGCAAATAACCTTAACCCTGTCTCACTGCATATGCCTCACTGCAACCAATCCACACCCCGCAGAAATGGATAAACCCTTCGGGGCAGATCCGCGGCAATTCCCATTGCCGGCCGGGAACGCGCTTAGCCGAGATTCTCCAAACTATCAGTAGTTGATATACAACATCACATATCATTCTCACTCACTCATATAACTGACCAGATATATAACTATCTACAAACACTGCGAATACCACTCGTTCTCCACCGTACAAGTATATCCATCCGCACAAGTCGTCGCCCCAGTCCATCCCGCCCCACCACACTGCGCATAATGCGCAGCCACAGCCGTTGATGTAGCAGTAGCAGCAGCAGTGGTAGTAGTTACCTTGCTCGTAGCACTTCCAACAGCAGAGGTACTACTCGCACTTGCCACAGCAGTTGAAGTCGTACCCCCCGAAGAAGAGGATGAACCAGGAGTATAACCCTCCAACACGCCCAAATAATACTCATACGCAACGCCATCATCCGGCTCCAACGAAAAGATATAATCTCCCCACCAAGGTCCAGCAGACCACCACATACCCCCCAACCAAACATCACTCGCATCGACCATCGCATCCAACATGCCCGTAACCGCCTCCTCACAAACACTATTTGCACCGCCCGCAAACTCTCCCAACACCGCCTGCTTCCCATTTTCCCTCAGCCAACTCGTGGCATCAGCAATGCGCTCCGCACCGATCGTCGAGCTAACGCACGTCGAACTCGTCCCGGAGCCATCGCTGTCCAGATATTGGTGCATTTCGTAAATGAGATGGTCGTTAGGGTCGGTGAGGTTCACGAGATTCGTGTTGGTGGTGGTCCAGGTCCAGGCGCCCGTGTAAGAGTTGCCTTCGACGAAGATGTATTGTGTGGTGGCGCCGGTGGCGCGGATGGCCGTGATGGCGGCTTGGTTGAGGTTGAGGACCAGGGTTTGGTCTTCGTCGTGGAATTCGTTGTCTATCTCACTATTAGTATAGGCTGCTGAAGATTGGGGCTGGGTAGGGTAGGTACTGGTATCGAAGATGACCAGGTCGTTGTCGGTGAACTCGCTGGCTACTGTTGTCCAGAATGCTGCAAAGTCACTCGTTGAGGTGATGATGTTGCCGTAGCTGGATGCCATATCATATTAGTTCTATACTGACGGAGACTGAAAGAAGGAAAGAGAAGAGCATACTATCTCCCAAAATTATGCGGATCCACCACTGCATAAGCACCTAGATCTGTAATAGTTTGCACCGTCTACACCACACACCCCATTATCATCAAGAACAGCGCATCTTAAAACCCACTAGGGAAACTTACAGCTTTCAAATCAGCCATATACGTCGCATCCGCCGCCCCAGTCAACTCATCCGGCACCAACCGCTCCATGAGGAACGGCACGCGAAAGATATTCATCCCTGCACTATGCAGCGTCTCGATGGCCGTTGCATCAGGCCAGATGTAATCTGTGCCCAAAGTGCCGGGGATATTTCCGGAGCCGAATTCGGCGCCGGATTCGTTACTACCAAACCCTGCTCACTTATCAATATGTGTCTTTCAAGACGGTAGTAGAGAAGGAAGAGGTACATTGAAAACCAGAGGATCGCTTCGCCTTCGGACTGCTACTCGCAGTCCAGGCTTGAACGAGCAGGACAGCTACAATAGAGAGAGTCTTCATCTTGCTCTGTCGACACAGTATCCGGTTGTCTTCTCTGGCTGTGCTTCAAACCATTCTGTGTCAAGACAGATGAAGTCAATCATTTATATTCACCTCATCATCACCAAACATCGCACATTCTGCCAGAATCCTACCCAACTACTCGGCAGCCGGACCGACAATCCATACCACTTCATCAGAAACCCATCGGCCCATTTCCTAAACAAGAACGGGCGACCGAATTCGTCACGGGTGCGCAAAAGAAACCCAAGAACCAACCGGTTTGTAGGTAGCTTGTTTCATGCTCTTCCCCTTTGCTGATCCGGAAAGGACCGGATCGTCATCGCTTCGGGAAAGGGGGAAACGGAAAACTAAAGCCAAGCTTCCCTGCAGAGGATGCATGCATTGGATGCGGAGAATATCCCGTCCAGCCATGTGGTGTGTCTGGGATTGGCGCTGGTCATGTCAGCACTACTTTAGGCTTTCCGCACGGATGTTCTGCAGATATGTGAGGAGCGGGGGAAGGAGTTATTGGGGGATGGTTGATTGATTGATTGGGCTGTGCCTAGGTTGGGCGTCGGGTACGGGAAGTTAATTTATTATAGTATTGGTATAGTGTAGTGTGATTTGAGGATAGTGGTTGGTAGATTCGGCGTCAAGTGATCATGTCATATTGCTCCCTAATCTTAACTAAATTGTAGTACGTGTGCTAACTACCATTCACTAACTGAACGTCCCCACACTGTCGTCTCGACTATTGTCCAGAAGGTATTTACAAACACTGCGAGTAGTACGCATTCTGATACGTGCAAGTGTATCCACTCACACAAGTGGTCGGACCCGTCCAGCCCTGTCCACCACATTGTCCATACGCCTGCGCCGCCGAAGTAGAACTGCTACCGCTGCTGGTCGTCGAGGTAGTCTTCAAGGTCGTCGAAGTGGCCTTCGTGGTAGTAGAGCTCGAGCTGGAGCTAGACCCCGACCCCGAAGAAGACCCACTGGAGTAAGTCGAGCCAATGGGCCCGAACTTGATGTTCGAGTACGTGACATACGCATTGGGTGAATCCGCTTCCACAGTGGCCGGCACACCCGAGTCAGTGCTACAAGTACCGCGGGCCACACCCGGGGTCGAGGCTGACGAGTTAACGGGGTAGTCGCTGTCGAGCCAGAGCATGTTAGCGGCGTAGTCATCCCACAGACTCAAGACCAAGACCATTCCATTTGCCATAGCCTCGCCCATGCCCGCGAGACCGCCGTGCGTGTCAAACACGTTCTCATCGCCAAACAGAGTCTTCTCTGATTCACAGAACTCGGAAGTGATCGAGCTGCCGTTGACGCTGGAGTAGGTGGAGGCGCCGTTGGCGATGACCTCGCCATTCTGCACGTACAACCGCTTGATCTCGGTCAGGGTACCGGAGGAGGTGCCGTCGTCGGTGATGAACTGGGTGACGACGGTGAAGGGGCTGTTTGTGTCGACGGTCAGGCCGGGACCGTAAAAGTCCGTGTTGCCCAGACGGTAGGGGTTGTAGTCGCAGCCGTCGGGGTCGCAAGTGCCGCTGTAGCGGTCGCCGCTGGCACTGTAAGTACCACCGCAGGAGTCGCCGTCGCACATGGTCTGGCTGGCGGAGTCGCATGGGTGTGCGGTGAAAGCATTGGAGATGCTGTTCGCTTCCCAGACGTCCATCTCAGCGCAGCAGGAACCGTGGTCGCCAACACCGGTGTTGGCGTTGTTGCTAGAGGGCTCCCAGCCGTCGCAGTTGGCTTCGCCATTGATGAACTTCAAGTCGCGGGGGCACTGCGAGTCGCAGTATCCGGTACCGTATTTGGCGCCGGCCTTGTTGCCAGAATACTCCGAGGTGCCGCCGTCAGCGTCCATGGCGACGAAGTACAGCGCGCCGTTGAGACCGCAGGGGAGGTTGGACACGTCCACGTCAAAGGTGAACTCCTGGCCGAGGAGCTTGAACATCTCATAGGTACTGTCGTCGCTCATGAGGTACAAGCGGGATCCGATGTTCTTGCTGGAGCCCTGGGTGACGAAGTTCAGGCGCAGCTCGTCGCCGGACGTGGTCACACCGTAGGTCGCCTCGTAAGTGGCACCGTCAAGTGCGCAGTTCGCGGCACAGGTCACATCGTCTGTACAGATCGAGGTGTCCCACTCGTTGCCGGTGTAGCAGTTGGTGGAGCTGGAGGTTGAGTGCACCCAGCGCCAATTGGCGTCAATGACCACCTCGCCGTTATTGGTAGTGCAGCTGCCATCGCTGGTGCAGGTTTGCCAGGTCAAAGACGGATGCGTCTCAGTGGTGTAGGTTCCAACCTGCTGAGCATTGGCAGAGGCAAGAATGGAGAGCAGCAGGGCTGCTCGGTAGATTTGAAAGGAAGACATTGCGATTCACTGCTTGAGCTCTTGGGCTTCTGAGTTCTGCTGTGATGAATGCGGATGCTGTGATGATGATCATAGGGGAAAGTCGAGCTCTTTATACCTTCGCAAATTCATGCTGCCTATTTCAAAACTCCATGCTCGCGGATATGTTACGGCTATACGGACCGCATCCCGGCATGGCACGTAGAGTAGACTGACTTCCTCGTCGCCGAATCTTGAAGACATCGTGACAAGCGAGCTCAAAGGAGACCATTTCCTTTACCA